AAGTGCACATTCGTGGTTTATATTCAAGTGACCTCAACGTCTTGTAATGTTATGAAAAAGCCAGTTTGAGTTGATTACTTTATGCAGCGAATTACGTTGCAGCGTAATGGAAACATGCAGAATGTTTTGGGGGCATTATCCTGGCGACATGCGGGATCATTGGTGCCATAGCACTGATGTTTGTGTAAACAATGCTATCTAATGTTTCTGACAACTGCCCTTGGCAAATTTGCCTTCTACCTGGGAACACTTTGCAAATTGAAGAGAATTGTTCTTCAGCTTCGCTAGGAACTGAAAAGGTGATACTTTGTGCGTTAATTGCTTGTACACTCCGTGAAGATTAATTTATTTGGCTGTATCGGGTGGTGGAGTGCTCTCAGCTGTGTGTTGGTTTGCTGCACTGCTTTTGTAATGGCAACAGACAAACATCCTTATACAGAAATCTCAGTTTTCAAGTTCAACTTATCGACTTAATTTTTTATTATTATCATGAACAATGATGAAAACATATCAGCGAGCCTGCCACCATCAGGAGTCGTGCCAGGCTGTCGAGTGTGTGGCCTGAATGTTTGAGTCACAGTTTTTCATGTTGTGCGTGTTACAAGTTTTTTCCACATGTGGTGGGAAATGTTTGAAAAAAAAACCCACACACACCACATTGGGTCTCTCTTTTTTTTAAAATACAGTTTGTTGCCGCTCATAATTTAACCCAACAAGCCGATGTGCATTGTGTAACGAGCTCCCCACTGGCAAGCAGACATATATCAACCCCGCATGGCCTGCCACGAGATATAGATAACAGTACTGTATGTAGTTTTGAATAAAATTGTGTTTTTCTCCCTTTGTTATGAGAACAGCTGGGCAGATAAGCTGTCTGAAAATTGGGTGGAATTACATAATTGTTCAAATATGTCCGTGGTCTTCTCAGATGGCGCCCGCTGCTCACTACTACAATGTTATCATTGCAGGATGTGGGATGCAGGGGCGGCCGCCTGTTTTAAAGGGGGCCTGAGTGTTCGACCCTCAAAAACCCAGTCGATTATACTTTTCAGTCGACGCATCGGAACAACGGACTTACTCGACCGATGGTACAAGCCCCATACCCGCGCCATGGTGCCGATGAGCTCCTGGTTGAGCCTGGCGTTGCACAGAGCGAGCGACTAAAGCACATCTGGCAGATCACCGATGAAACCTTTCCACAATTTGGGGTCACAAATCAAGTTATCTGACCTTTGTCGTGCATAGGGAATATGTTGTTGTGTGAATGTATAGGAACTGCAGTGGCATCAAAATAAAACAAAATGTAGACGTTTATAAAAAGTATATTCCCGCACGTGCGATGTGATGCATGTAAATGTCAGTGTAAAATAAATGCTATTTGAAGAATCCTCACATTCCTGCTGCCCAACATGCGTCCTTACACTCATTATTGCCAGTTTATAGTACTGCCAGCCATCTTCAGGAATGTACTCTGTAAATATACATGCATACTTTATATAGCCACATGAGCTGTTGGTGAGTAATATAAACTGGCAATTGAAATGTTGGGAATGGATATTTAATCTCGTGTTTTTGAAGATATTCGTGTTCTGTAGAAGGATCATAAAAGTGGCACGTGCATGAGCAAATGTAATATTTCAAACAACATTAGGTGACAGGCACATTTCTAACCATGAGAGCTAGAGCCTGTAATTATTATTACGGAAATATTTTACGTGCCCAGTACTCTGCTGGAAATGGGTCAGATGTGATGAACTGTACATGAGAATTTTCATATATTAATTGACGGTTACAAATTCACACGAGTGAACATTAGTCCCACTCTGACCTTGTGAAACATAGATTTTATTATGTCAGTCCGGTGATTGAATTTCATCAGTGTGATTGTTCCAGCGTTCAATATCATAAAAAAAACATAGTCCCCACATTATTGCTCAAAATTGTATTATTGTTCTTAAGGGTTTTGTAAGTTGAAACAGATGAAATAAAATAAACACTTGTGTGAACGAGAAAAGCGATTTATATCCATGACTATGCATGTGGACACTGATGTCTCTTAATCGTTGCTTTGCGTGACTCAATAGGGTGCCATGTGAGTTTGGAATCAGATGACCAGACTCACCATGTAAGCATCAGATTGAGTTACTTTCTCCTATCGGATTGGACCACATTTCATGAGCCATTGATAGAAACCAATTTGAAAAGTTAACACGTAGGCTTTCGTGACAATATTTTCCATAATAGAGGATTTTTGGGTTAGATCACATGAATCTAAATGTGTAGTTAAAACCGCCACCACCCGACACAGCCAATTAGTAAGGTTTGACATGTTTTTTTTACGTGACAACCCTTACAAATTATCTGTGTCGGGTAGTGGCGGATTTAACAAAACATTTATATTTTTGTGATCTAACCCAAAAAAACTCTATTATGGACAATTTTAAAATGCTTAAACTAATAATAACTAATAGCTTTAGACGTAGCGCCCTTTAAGCCAGAATGTCTCCGAGTGCTTTACACGTGACGAGCTACTGACATCACATTACATCTCATACATGTTTATTAAAGGGCACCCCTAGTGGCAGCGGTCCCTGTGCAGCACAAGGTGGCTCGGCACATGGCCTGCAAGTGGGCACTTAGCCTGCCAGTAGGGAGTTAGCGTTGCTCTGTGTAATCTCATTTGAGTAATTTGTGAATAACTTTTTTTAAGTTGGAAAATTTGGACCATGATCCCAGCACACAATGGCCTACTTGTTTCGAATAACATCCGTGTATCCGTACGTCCACTGTGCAGCAGACGGTACTGATGGTTAATGTACCCATAGTAATAATTAGGGCGGCCTGTGGCATTCGAACTGCGAACCTCTGTAACAAGCGGCGAACGTGTTATGCTGGGCCATGCCAAAATAATGCGGTAAAATGCGTATTTTATTACCAATACTGGACACAGTGTTTTCCCTTTATTACTGGAATGTTAAGATTAAGATTTAAACGTTGAATGCATTTTAGATAAATTTTCATATGGTCACGGTGGCCATGGAAATCGTAAATTGGAATAAAATCTGGGTAGTCTTTGAAACGACTGTTAAAGCACAATAGATTAGGCACTTCCTTTATTTCCTTCGTGAAAATGTTGTACGCCGTGCCGCCTAAGTACAAATCTGTGCAGTGTTTTCAATGGACGCCATCAGTCTGTATTATGCCAGCTGGGCGCCCTGTACAGTACATCAACCCTTCTTTAATAAATCCTATCGAATGGAGTGAGAGTAGTCAAACAACTACAAAAAACTAACTTATATTATCCACTCGGTTACATTTTTTTACTTTTATTGATTCATATTTTTTTTTAAGTAATCACATTTTCGGGCTGGGCACTGCCCTCCCTGCCATATTCTGTAACCTTCCTGCAAATGATTTATTTTTTAGTTTTTTCCCTTCACACCTTGGCCATGGACTTTACTGGAAGTGACTGTGCCAACATCGTCGCGTTCACTACAGGGGACAGATGTCATAGCGGACGGATAAGAACGCTTTTCTCTAAACGACACTCATTGCATGCATGCAAAGTAACATTAAAAGTTACTTGAAAAAAACTTAAGTTTTGTGAAAATGCGTATTCACTTAGAAGCGTGTAATAGAATGGCTAAATGCGCCAGACAATTTCATTCACCAAGGTTAGGAACACACTTGCAGATGTTTACATGGAATGAGTTGTCTTGACCACAGCAGCAGGAGTCCAAAGGACACTCAACACAGGTAGTAACCAATATACAGTTTTGCAGTTTCAAAATTGGTGCACAGTATTTCCTTGTCTTAATCACTGCATGCGTCCACTTGTACAATTTACATGTGTGGGTGCTTCCCAACATCTCTTAATGGCAATTATTCATTTATCAGACAACTCTGCGTTTCAACCATCTCCAGCATTCGCACCCCTGCAAAACGCGTTGCAACTCTGCCGCACTGCCACGTGTTCCGTTCTATCGACTGTGCTCTGAACGCGCGCGATTGCCTCGAAGCCTTTTCGTTTGGAGCACCCCCCGAGGCTTGCGTGTTGCGCCGATGGCTCATGACCCAGACGGAGAGGCCCTTTCCCTGTGGACGCGCGTGGGCAGGGGAGTTCGGTGGGGTTGCGTGCACCTGAACACGCTTGCCGTGGAAGCAGTCGGGGAGCTTTGTGAGGCTTCACTGCCCTTGGGGTGAGCTCAGGTGTCACTCAGGTCAGGCCAGGGCAGTCGCCAGCCAAAGTAAACAAGAAGAGCGATTTTTGTTGTTGTTGTTGGGATTCGGTTAAAAAAAACTAAAATAATCTTGATTTGAAGCTTTCGTGACTGCAGGAATCTCTTTGGTTCTTTCGGTAAAGTCACGTAGATAGAAAATTAATAGATCACGACGTTTCGATCGCAACACAAGCAACCGTCATCAGGTGAAACAAACACAGCAGGATAACTGCTAACATATCTACGTGACTTTACCGAAAGAACCAAACAAACACAATATTTCAAGAGCCGCACTGCATGTGAATACGTGACGGTGGGTCCTTAATAAATATCGTGTCACGAAGCAGCCCTTAAAAGAGCCACCGCACGCGGCGCTGGAGCAGCAGGTTGCCGACCCCTGGCTTCGGGCAAAGGTGTATCTCTGAAGGTCACCTTTGTGTGTGTTTTTTTTATTATTATTAATACAGCGACGCCTGTTTACCCAAGAAAGCCTCACTGAGTTTACCCAAGAAAGCCTCACTGAGTCTCAATGATTTTTCAGGAGTGCCCTGCCAAGGTTTGGCAGCAGGGGGGGTGGGGGCGACACTGCTGCCTTGTCATCACAATTGAGCCATTTTGAGGACAGTAGTTCCTTGTCTGTGATGCATAGCTCGTTCGTGAGAGCTTTGCGTGAAAAGAGTGAGAGCGCCAACGCCAAATGTACAAACGTTTTATTATTATTAGAACGGGCGTCACTATTTTCCAAGGCATGGGTGGCATCTGCTTTTGCATAGGGCGTGATATTGCACACGGAGGAGTTCCCACTCGCGCGTGAAGGCTGGAAATGACAACTGACCGGTTTGACTGAACCCTCAAAGTGGGTTTGTGTTGCCACGTCCACCTCTGCGACGCTGCGTCACGTGCCTGGCAGCGAGCATCAGCCGACTGAACTTTAGCTCCCACAGCCAAGGGGGGCTGCGTCAGCTCCGCTTGTTTGCTGACAGTGCACCTCTGATTGAGTGACAAACTCCGAGCGCAGCGTATGCCCCAAGCAGGTGTAGCCTCCGTGCCCCGAGTGTGTGGAGACTCCCGGCAAGGCACGCGAGGAATCTCACGAGCACCGCGATTCATACGCGGGCGGGGAGGAGGGTTACATTCAGATCACGAATTGGCAATACTTCGCCTCTCTTGGAAAACCGACGTTGGTTACAAGTAAGTGTTTCTCCTGCTGAGATTTATTAACACGTGAAAACAAATGCAGTCGCGTCTCATCTGCGTTTGAACAATTAGCTGATGTATGGGTCATACGATATATACCTGATATGAATGCTATCTATATTATCCCAGGCTAAACTTGCGCATTTGTGTTGATCTATTACCTATGTATCTGATTTGTCCAATCTAATGGGAATACATCAGCTGTGGCATGTGTGCCTATTGTAATACGCACACATGGCACACAGACGTTTGCTCTGTAAACCTTCGGTAAAGGATAAAGGTACAGCGCTGCAATTTCTTGCCTCATGCCCATGCCAGAAGAAGGGCCTCCACTAGCTGGAGCTCTAGAGAGCCGCTCCATCCCAGTGCGTGTTTGGTCTACTATTCCACATTGTCCGGGCATCTTGGATAAAGGTTGAAAGTGTCCCCACTCTATCCCTCCGCACACGCGACCTGCCGATGGACTCACTGTGGTGAAACCGTTCATATTACTAGCTGTAAAGAAGCGGGGGAGGGAAGGGTGATTTAAGAAACTTGTCCATCGCCATATTCTGATCAGCGTGCACGTTCAGCACCGCTTAAGAATTGCTGGAATTCACTCGTGGTAATTGTGGCCCAACCACCGATGGTAAGCCTTCGCTACAGCTATCATTCCAATGTTGTCTGTGTTGGGATTGAAGAGGGGGGTGGGGGTCATCACTTTGGGTGTAATGCCACCCCCGTGTACTTGAATTTCCAAAACTCAGGGCGGCTGTGATTCAGTTCAGGAACCATTTGTGGTGTTTTTTTGTCTTTGACATTGTTGTGAACGTAGTCGCGAGAGCGTGTGCTGGGATCACTTGATCCCTTTAGGTACAAGGCATGCAACTAAAATATCACGGATTTTTTTTCTGTTACACATGATTCAAGGTGAAAACTTGGCAGTATCCTCCTGACAAAAGAGTCTTGAGACTCAGTGAGGTTTACCGGGGTAAACGAGCAGAATAATAATCTAGGATTAAAGCTTTCGTGACTGCAGGAATTACTATACTCATTGGTTCTTTCGGTAAAGTCACATATGTAGAAATAAAATAAAATAAATCACGACGTTTCGAACGCAACACAAGCGCTCGTCCTCAGGTGAAAATGGCGTAAACCACACAGCGAGGGAACACACAGAGGGACATCACGTGACACAGAGCGCACAGAGAACGGCAAACTGCACGGAGGCAACTCGTGTCTCATGAGTTTAATCAATATAACACTCGTAATTCCTGTAAAAACAAACTCTGCCACACCTTGTGCTTAAAAATTACTTTAAAAAAACAAACCTGGAATTTTAATTGCCTCCTAAGATATCACCTGAGGTCTATCAATTGGCGAGACGGTAAATCCGATCTGGATGGCCGTGTCTCCCCGAGTCACAGGGCCCGTTACTCAAGCTGGGGGGGGGGGGGACGTCTTGTGTCCTGCAAGCTCTGGCAAAGCCGCACATCTGTCTCTGTTACCAGGATAGACAATATCCAAACTGTGTGCTGCGGACAACCTTGCCAATTTGTGAATCTGGTCCAAAGTGTCTCCATGACCGTAGGCTTTCAGGGCGGTCTTCAAGATTCATTAGCCGCCATCGTGAACCAAATTCACATTGTCACATTCTGCCCATGGCCTACCTGATTTCCCAAAAGTAGACGCCGTATCAGGAAAACCAATTTCACACGCGATCGGTGACTTACGTTACATCTCCCATCTCAAACGTCCGAAGGGCACCCCCAGAGGCAGCAATCCCTGTGTCCACAAGGTGGCCAGCACACAATTGCCTACTCGTTTTATGTCACAGGATCTTTAACTTCCATTGTAGAGTACACTGCGCGTATTTACAGTTCATACACCTGCGGATTCGAACTGCAAAACCTCTGCAATAAACGGTGGACAATGTTACCACGATTGTTACCATGATTGCCCAGAACTACACGTTATCATGGTGTCTTCAATTGTTTTCATACCACGAACAATTAGTTTCAGAAAGTAAATACCTTTCAAACCAGAGGATGTACCCTCTGTACGTCACTGAAGGTTCTTCGAGCAACACAAGACCACCTTTAGGATTCTCATGATTTAGTGTAAATGGCAGAGGTTCCAAAAACCTAACTGAAGCATCTTATCGAAGATCGTACGAACTGTCGGATTGACCTCTCAGCTGAGCTGCTGGCTCCCTCTTTCACTTGGTTATCAGTCATTGTTGCTTTGCCACACTTTGCCCCCTCGTTTGCTTCATACGCACAGCCGGATTCACAAACCGGACATTGGTTTTTGGTGCGAAAATAGAATTGGTCTACTTTTGAATTTGCCTGTATTTGGCTGCCTGGATTAGAACCCAGAATCTCAGAGGCGCCAGCTCAGCACCCTGACCTTTGAGCCTCCCGGCCACCTCCGAGGCATTAACGCCACTTAATTAAAGCGCCACGTTGGCGAGATGTTAACTTCCTTGCCTGGTGTACAGGAGGTCGTGCGTTCCATCCCGACCCTGACACCTGCTGTATATTTGAAGTTTGCATGTTCTCCCCGAAGTCGCGTGCATTTTTCTCCGGGTCCTCCGGTTTTTCCCTCCACATTTAGAACCGTGTGTTTAGAGTATTTGGCTGCGATAAATGCCCGCGTGATAAGCCACTTCGTTGAGCTACCATTTGTGGCCAGGTCACTTCTGAAAAAGAGCTATGCAGCTCAGTGGGCCTTACCTGGTAAAATAAAATAAAAAGTCGCTGTCACCTTTCTCGCTCGCACGTGAGCAGCTGTCCTGCTGTGCAGGGTGCTGTGAAAGGCAGCAAGTGTGAGCCGGCCGCGTGGCTGTGGGGCGATGATAGCTCGCATGCAGGGGCTGGATACGAGTTGAATAGCAACGATAAATCCATGTCCCAGTTGTGAATGCAGCTGCTGACAGCGAGTGTGAACCCCTCTCCTGCACTCGGAGAATACTTGCAGTGGGCACGAGTGCATACAGAGACCCATAGACGCACACAGAGACCCATAGACTCACACAGAGACCCATAGACGCACACAGAGACCCATAGACTCACACAGAGACCCATAGACGCACACAGAGACCCATAGACTCACACAGAGACAAAGACTCACAGAGACCCATAGACAACACATCGAGACACGTAATCACACAGACCAACACAGACACGCACAGAGACCTACAGACTCGCACAAATTCCTGCAAACTCCCATAGACCGATAGGCTCACAACAGAGACCCATAGACGCATAGATATATTCACATATTTATTAGCACGGTTGGCTACGTACAGTGCAAAGCTAACATTCTCTCCTATGAAAATTCCGATCGACTGGAAATAATGTGTGCAGTCTGAGACACAACGTGAAGTAATATACAATATACAATCAGATGAAATATTCAGGCTGCATGGTGGCACGGTGTGATGGGGGGGGGGGGGGCGAAAGCCATTATTATAAATGTTGTTCTACGAGACCGCAGACTGCGCAGCAAGGATTGTTGGCCATCAGCTGGAGGTGTGCGGAAGCATCATCCTTCGGTGCATCGAGTGAAGAAGGCCCAAGCTGAGAGTGCGTGCCTGCAGTTGTATTGGTGAAGATGGTTTTTTTTCTTATTATTTTACACGCTTTCTATTAACTCACTCTGTCTGTTGTTGTTGTCGTTGTATCACTGTTTCATTGCTTTCATGGCTTTATTTTGGCGATTTCGAAAAGGTTTTTTTGGTTTGGCCATGTTTGTTTGTTGTACGGAGTTAGACTGATGGCCTTAATCTAAGTTGTCTTGTGGTTGTTGTTGTTTGACTTGCATCCCACTGGGATTTTTGCACACAGCGTTGGTGTACGGTGCTTTTTCTTTAATATTTTGCTGTCTTTTCTTGGATTTTCTATTTGCACATAGTCACATAGTCACTTTAAGATGTTTTCTTGTTCATGTTTTTGTTTTTTGTTTGTTGCGATTGCACCTGATTCAAGAGCCGAATGGCTCACAGGACTATACCTAATGAATGAACTTGAATCCTCAAATCTTGTAACTCAATTTTAACCCACTTCCCAATGTGGTATCGACTACAAACTTGGTATACTTATGTCATACTGATGACAATACTATATTCTATCATAAAAAATGAAAAAAAATATTTTGAAACATTATTTTTTTATGTTATGTTTCGGCTTGGGTCTAATTGTCCATGCTCAACTAACGTTGGCTGTAGATCACCACGGTCCCTGACGTTATGGCAAGCTTCGGGGCCACTTCCTGGAGTCGTGGAGTTCTTACATTACTTATTCTTCTTCTGTTTATCTACGTGTTGAATTGCCACGGCGCTAGCAACAGCTCTGGGCACTGTGTGCGGCACATTATGGTATTCAATTGGAATATTGATCAAGCTTGTGAACTGTTTTCAATAGATTTCTGTCCAGCACTTGTCTTTCTTGTCATTCCTGCCCGGTTGGTTTTTCCTCCCATTTCTATTTCCTTGTCTCGCTCGTTTTTTTACGTTTTTGTTTCCGTCTTTTTGGTGACCCCAGGTCACTTGCTCGGAATCAGAATCGGTCACTCACTCTTGCAAACCAGGCTCTCTCTCCTGGCCTCTTCAGAGTTCTCGACCCAGTTAGGCAAAGTCAACTAAATTACGCATGAACCTCATGCTGTTTTCATGAGCCCTTAAAGGGGAGAAGCTCGTACACAGTCCGTGCACTGCTTACGAACAACAAAAACAGCTGTACACTCTCTTATTTAAGGCTGTTGGCTAAAATCAGGCTGTTATGCTTATTCATAGCAGCTAAGAGCTGTCTCGCCACGTCTGCTGTGCCTTGACAAATAGCGAAACCAAAGCCCCCAGGAATGCGTTCACAGAGGCCATATATAGTTTGTTGTCCGTAAGTAAAGCTTGTTTACACGTTTCAGATTTACACAAATATGTGTATATACAAACGTGTTCTGTCTTCATATACTGTGGCTAAATTGAATGTACGAGAACATCGTTAACTGTTACCTAT